CATTAGCATTGACTTTACCGAAGTCTTAGCATGCCTTCACTTTAGGTATATGACCAAGCCCCAACTACCGTCAGGGTTGCTAATGCAATTGATGATAAAAAGATGGTGCTAATGATGATGACGTAGATGAAAACTATTATAGTATTGTTTTGGTGATAGTGATGGTGATGAGGATTACGTTGATGATGAAATTATCCGTCCATTCTATATATGAAAACCTTTTTCCAATACAAGGCTAAATGAATATCATAGGATAGCAGCACATACCAATGTCGTTGTGGGCAAATTTGAACTTTTATTCGAAGGTATGAAGATCAAGATGGTGTGGCCTTTTGTATGTTCGCAGTCTACTTTCGTTGTATAGAAGTTGTTTGATCTTGTTTTCCCAACATGATCATATTAGTAGAAAGACTTAGCGGAACGCACCTAGTCCGGAGTCAATTGTCTACATGATCATTTCCAAAGTCGACCTGTGGACGTGGTACATTCCTAAACGTTTCGCCGGCATCATCAGTTAGTCTTACCATTCTTAGCACGACACAACAACTCGTCAGAGAGACAAGTGAAGCTCATCCTTTGACCAAACGTGAGCTAAACAGTTGTGATATCTCCCCTTCTGCCCCGGGTTATTCGCGTTTCCGGTATCATCCTATCATGCCTTCATCATCATTATTTAGATAGTGTGGTGTGTTTCTTTGAGCGACATGAAATATTCACACCCAACCGTCGTTCTCACCCCCTCCCTTCATCCTTGTGCAGGAAATGTTGATCAGAGTCTGCTTTACTATTATGCAGTCCTCTTTCCTAGTCTTATCCCAGTCTCTCTCTGGCTCCGTAAAATCCGTCTGCTCTCTCCCTCGTTCAACTATTTCACTCAACTCCTCCCACCACATCTGTCCTACTCGAGGCGTTATTCGCCCTCACTTGTGTCTGGGTGACTAATTCGAGGCTCCAGCCTCTGAGTGTCATGGTCACCCCTTTGCTACATGTACCACGTCTCTGGTACTTAGGTTTTTTTATAAGTAGGGTCTCTAGAATACTAGAAACGTCAATCCGACTCATATCATTGTGGGAAAATACAACTGCCAGTCCTTCATCACCTCAAAGGTAATCGGGTAAATACATCTCATATAACTGATTTAACCCAGGACAGAAGGGGAGATACCACAACTGTTTAGCACACATTTGGTCAAAGGAACGGCTTCACTTGTCTCTTTGACGAGTTGTTGTGTGATGCTAAGAATGGCGATACTCACTGACGATGCCGG